TTTGAGAGGGGTGGCATGACTCACATTCACCCCCATTCCATTATCGTTCCATTTACGCCGAAGAGAAGAAAATTTCGGCCCACGCTTATCGGCTACGTCACTCCTCTCTATTGAAGTATAATGCTCAACTTTGGAAGTGGGACATCCCGAAAATTGGGCGAAGACACTAAGAAAACGTTCATGAGGCTTTTTTTTCGAGAATACTGGGGCGTATTTCATAAAAAAAAAACTAAAACCCAACAATATTGTGTTGGTTGTGCTTTTGGACCACCATTTGCAAATTCTTACTGATTTCTGTAGATGATAGGTGTTGAAGAAATTGGCAGAAACTGTGGGTTTTTTTTCAAGTTCATCTGCTTGTTCTTTCTTTCATACCAATATATTCTACAGGACAGGGTGTCCCTATTAGGTATGTACAAAATCTTAGGTCAAAATAAGTCGATTTAAAGCAACTTACCTCAGTCCGAAATTGCTCTGTATCAAAATCGACAAGTAAACCCCAAGAAAGTATTTTGAAAACTCCCATCATATTTGCTCTGCTATTTCACTGACCAAATTACACCCATGAGAAGCAATTTTTTTTCCAAAAAATAATTTAGATATTCCTCGAAATCGGCTCCAAATATATCAAGAGCATCTTTTTTGCTTAACAATGTCCATGACAATATTTTTTCTGTGAGTGTGACATTTCATCTCTGTTGACACGTTATAAAATGTTATTTTTTCTGTGATGGGAAAAAAGTTTGAAATTTCATTTCTGTTGACAGGTTATAAAATGTAACTCTTTTTTCCCACGGAAAAAAGTGAGTACTTTTTTCCCGGATATATATCACATAATAATACACATATGGCTTTTGTTGTACTATAGTTCCGAAAAATAAACCAATTACACCGTCTTCGAGAAAGAACTGCAAGTCCTTTTATCTTCCAATCTACTTCGTGGTTACGTAAACTACAAAAAAAAAACACTAAACTCTCAATTTTTTGAAATCATTTTAATTTTTTTCTGAATCAGTTGAAGTATTGTCCTTCTTTGGTTTATAAGTACATATCATTAGTAGGTACCTATATGTAAAGAACCCCGCACATTTAGTACGGAAAATGGCTTTCGGCTAATTTTCCTAAAAAATGTGATATTTTCCAGATATCAGCGTCCTTATTACACAGTCTAATTTACAGATCGATCCTATGACCAGTTTTCGAGCTACAGGGTGTCAATCATTTGATTTTGGCTGTTTAGAATATTTTGCATCGATTTGAATTATGTGCTCTAAGTCGTGATAAATCTTCGGTAGAAATAAACGCTTCACGTCTAATTTCTACCTCATAAATCCCTCTATTCGAATAGATAATAATATCACATACAGGGTATTGCATTCCATCATGACAAGGTAATATTCATGGGAATAGACAAATATTGAAAATATCAGAATTTCGCATTTTACTCAATCACTGAAAACTTGAAAACAAACGGCTAGAATCGGCCAATTATTTTACACACTATGGATCTTGATCATCAACATGAGGATTCATATGATATCTTCTGATACAATGTCTGGTTTGCCATATATAGGGTGATGACAATTTGAAAGCTTAGAATTGATGTAACTCATGTACAGGGTATCCCAATTTGGGCACTTTTGCGGGGTATCTCCCTTATCAGTAAAGATAGAGCATTGCGGTTTTCGCGACAGTGTGCTACTTTTTTATGAAATTAATAATGGCGCAAGCAGAATTGTGATAGCTCTTCCGGTTGTCGAGATACAGGGTGGAATTGAAAAATATCACTTTTCAGACACCCTTCATGTCTCAGTTATCTTTGAACTTATCGAAGAAGTTAAAATTTGTTTTTATAGAGTTTTTCTCGTAGAATCCAGTGGCGTAGTTATTTTTTTGCTAGCACCTTTTGTTTTTTAGTTATGGAGCAAACATATGCTTTTTTAAATGGAACACCCTGTATATTATTTCATATATACATTGAGCATGAAGTGGGCTTTCCAAATCATATAATTGTATACAATTATTTTCCATTTAAAAAAAAAACATATGTTTGCTCCATAACTAAAAAACAAAAGGTGCTAGCAAAAAAATAACTACGCCACTGGATTCTACGAGAAAAACTCTATAAAAACAAGTTTTAACTTCTTCGATAAGTTCAAAGATAACTGAGACACGGAGGGTGCCTGAAAAGTGATATTTTTCAATTCCACCCTGTATCTCGACAACCGGAAGAGCTATCACAATTCTGCTCGCGCCATTATTAATTTCATAAAAAAGTAGCACACTGTCGCGAAAACCGCAATGCTCTATCTTTACTGATAAGGGAGATACCCCGCAAAAGTGCCCAAATTGGGATACCCTGTACAAAATGAGATACATATCACGAATGGTTCATAACTGTTCATATAATATATAAAGACCTATTGCTGAAATAGTTATGTTCAGGTTATTCCAAAAAGGTGGATTTGTGTACAGTAGATCAATGTAGCGAGAGAACACAGCAATGCGTACAGAATGTCTATAGTTCCAGAGTTCCAGGTAAGTTAATGATTATGTTTTCATGAGATTAAAATTATGTTGAACAATTTGACTACCTGGAACTAGACATTCTGTACATTGCCGTGTTCTCTCGCTACTTCGATATCTACTGTTCACTAATAATTGTTTCGAATCACCTGAACATAACTATTAAATTAAATTGATTAATTCATTCAGAATTATTTCTTCCTATTTTATGAATGGCTATCGAATTTGTGTTTTCCTTGTTTCCTGTAAATTGATCGGAATGACGAACGTGATACCGCAAAGTCTTGGTCATTATTTCCTATTGATAACACTTAGTCGCGGTCGTCTATAAAAATTTCGACGGAAATACCACCAATTTTGCGGTTCTGATGTGCGCTAACAAATCGTATTTAAAAAAAATTATCAGACAGGTTCAGTTTCGTGAATAAACAGACGAAAAAAAGTTGAGAACATTAGTACATACCACTAACATTTACCCATGTGTTTAATATAATATATTGATAAATATGGAATATCAAGATTACATTTAATAATTATCAACTGATTTCTACAATTATACTGTTATCAACTAAATTTAAAATAATGTTAATTAACGATTCACAATAGAGGTTAAGAGAAATATCATACAAGTCACCTGATCATATGGGTTTGAAAGTATTCAATAAGTTACCAGACTATGTAAAAGCCAGTAAATCATTGACTAACTTCAAAATCAAATTGAAAACATTCTTAATTGACAACTGTTTTTACAATATGAACGAATTTTTTTCAAGCACTGTTTGAGTTTATTTATTATATTTGCTTTGGTCTTTCTGAATATATTAGGGTTCGGAAAACTTTTGAACTGTAAATAGTATCTTCTTCTTCTCTATCTACTATTGTATATACCTACTTTCAAAATGACTGTACCAATACAATGTAAATTGTCTAATGGAAATGAATAAATGATGATGATGATGATGATGATAACGGAATTACGGTGGATGGCACATCTGCGACGTTGCCGCTTATATTGAAAAGTAGCAACATCTTTGATTTTCTGAATGCGACACCCTATATATTATTCCATTTTCAGATTCTTCTTAAAGAACTGATTTCATCGATCTATTACACTTGGGGTCTAGCGGAAATGATAACAAAGATAAAGGGGTTGAAAAATCGAGATTTGTCAACTTGAAGAATTTCTTGTGTCGAAACTATTCATAATTAGTCAGAACGGTTTTTATGTCCCTATCTCAACTTTTCATGTACAGGGTGATTCACCATAAATGTCCCCTCCTCTAGCTCACTTATTTGTGAACCGATTAAAAAATTTGAAAAATAATCTGAAATGATTTTTCAGAAATTTTTTTCCCATTGCATCAGAAAATACAGGGTGCCCGGAACAAACAAACGATCTACAGAGTACTACTCGATTTTTTCAAATGGAACACCCTGTATTTCATTGTATTTTTAGATTCTTCCTGATGAGCTGATTTCATCAATACATCACACTTGGGGTATAGCGGGAATGATTACAGAGATATAGGGTGTTCAAAATCGAGATTTTTCAACTTTAGGATTTTTTTGTGTCGAAACTATTCATTTTTGGTCAAAACGGCTTCTATCTCCCCATCTCAACTTTTGATTTACTATCTACTGACATTTAATTGGACCATTTACAGGGTGGTTCAAGATTCAGAATTCTGATCACCCTGTATCTGTTCCAATCATTAAACGTCAGTAGATAGTAAATCTACAGTCAATACGAACAAGAGAGCCGTTTTGACCGATAATGAATAGTTCCGTCACAAAAAAATCCTGAAGTTGAAAACTCTCGATTTTGAACACCCTATATCTCTGTAATCATTTCCGCTAGACCCCAAGTGTGATGCATTGATCAAATCAGCTCTTCAGGGAGAATCTAAAGATACAATGAAAAATAGGGTGTTCCATTAAAAAAAATTGAATAGTACCCTGTAGATCGTTTGTTCCGAGCACCCTGTATTTTCTGATGTAGCGGAAAAAAACTTTTTCGAAAATCATTTGAGATGATATTTCAAATTTTGAAATCGGTTCAAAAATAACTGAGCTAGAGGGGGGGACATTTATGGTGAATCACCCTGTACTATCAATTGATATTTATTATTGAAATAGATACAGAGGGTCGTTGAAAATCTTAATTCTGAACCACCCTGTACCTGCTAATTCAATTGAATATCAATTGATAGTAAATCTGAAGTTGAGATAGGCACATGGAAACCGTTTTTGACCAATTATGAAGAGTTTCGACACAAAAAATCTTGAAGTTGAAAAATCTCGATTTTTCACACCCTATATCTCTGTAATTGTCACTGCAAACTGAATTGGTAATGATGTTTCGTCTATTTAAGATAAGATTTTCGTCGAGATATGCCGAACAACTTTCTACCATAACTCGTTTTTCAAGAGAACAACAATAAGTGCACATATGTTATTATAGATTCTGATTACAGGTTTCTTCACACGAGCAAGAAATAACAAGTCAAATGTCAATCATAACCGGCTTGAAAGAAGAATTGAAAATTACTAAGATGAACTTGCAGAATACCGAAGTCAATCTGAACAACAAACAAGATGCTTTAGAAGAAATGATCCAGTAAGTTTTCATCTCAATATTCCAAATTAGCTCTTATACAGGATTTCCGTGAACAGTTTGTTAAGTACTCTTAATTTTCGATCATGACAACTTGGGTGTCAAATAACTTATTGACATACTCCATAGGAAGCAGGTCAGCAGAGCACATTGTGAACGTCCGAATCTTTTTTTATCTCACTTAAAAAATATTTTCAATTTACTGAGATTGAATTGTTCTTATTGAATCGTAGACATACTCTTCAATAAGGGAAAACTTTCAATTCTTTTAATGTCTTGAAATTAATATGTTCTCATTGGACCAGTTGACATATTCCACATGAAACAAATCAGCTCAGCACAGAATATTAGTGCAACACAAATCAGCATTGGGTAAATTGTCACATAATTGTCATGTCTTTCCATTTGTTAGAATTAAAATGTCAGACCAGTTGACATGCTTCTCATGGGGTAAATCAGCTCAGCACATGGGGAATTTTTAAATCTTTCAATTTCGTCACAAAATCATTGGACCAGTTCTTACGACTCCACAGAATGCAATGGCACAGGCAAACCATCAAATATATTTCTTATAATCATAATGTCCTCATCAACTCAGCACGGGGAAAACTTTCAGACTCTTCTGCTTTGGCATTGGCATGTCCTCATAGGACCTATGGAGAATATAATCCCAGCACACGAAGAATATTTGAACTTTCAATTTTAATGAGATGAAACTGTAATTTAGACCAGTTGACAAACTCCACAGGAAGTGGTCAGCTCAGCACACTGGCAATTTTTTAATCTTTCAAATTTTTTAGTGAGGTTTTCATTTTGGACTAGTTGACATACTTGACAGGTAGCAAATCAACTCAGCACATGGGGAATATTTCAATCTTTCGATTTTTCATAATTATTAAATAGTATGCATACATAATTCAATTGCAATGAGTGAATGCAGGTTTATTTGTTCATTTATATGTTCATTACGGATGTTCTTATATCATCATTTTGTCAATGAGAATTCATTCTTGGACATAAAAGTATACAGGGTGTCCCTGAAAGGTCTGTACAAAATCTCGGCACAAATTCCTGAGGTCAAAATGAGCTGATTTAAAGCAACTTACCTAAGTCCGAAATTGCTCTGATTCCGAGACACAGGGTGGTGAATTCAAAGAATAAAAATTGAATTTCTCAGAATTTATGAATATTCTTTGAGGTTTTAGTTCATAAATTGATATTTTGTGGTTTTTTGAGATGCGGAACCACCGAGGGAACCACCGACTTATATACTAATCTAGACTGCCAATTCTATAAGGTAAAAGATGAGCCACTCAGGAGATCAAACTAGTGAAACGGATTCATGCGCATTTAGGATCTGTCATGTTACACTCGCATGAACTCGAGGAACATATAGGCGTATCGAAAGAGAAAGGTTGGGAGGGGTCTACTATGGAAGATTATGCGAATTCGCATATGGATGGTTTCAATGTCCATCAGGAAGCATCAGGAAGCTGTCTGGTATGAAATAGTCTGAAGATATTATTCCTGAATGGCTAAGATCCGATGGTCTAATATCCTCAAACCATTCATTTCCTTTATCAATGAGAATTCTAGAGTCATTATTGAATAGGTAAACTTTTAATCCAAAATAGATGAGCAGGTATGGCACCTCACACCTGAACTCAAATTCTTCACAGCTGAATGATTATACAAAACATGCTTGATTCCATTCGATCTAAATACTTGCTCAACTGATGCGAAGCAAAATTTAAATAATAAATTATAAATTACCCCCAAACTCACCGATGAAAGAAATACCTATAGTATTATTAATCATGGAATTCTTACAGCAAAGAACAAACCACTTCATGTTTCCAACGATTGGCGAAAATAAATCGAAAAAATTAATATCACTACTCAATTTGATATATCTTTATTAAGCCGACCACTATATAACTTAAATAAAACACGACGCCATCCGCCTAGTCTCCGCCAATGAACAAAATGAATACTAGGTTATGTGAAAACTTCACAATGATTATATTTCCACAAAGTTTTGTGGAAATCTTATCGTTTGTGAAATTGTGGATTTCCATCAAGTAACGGTCGAGTCAATTCAAAAAAAAGATACTAGGTTGATTTCGATACCACGTCAAAGTCATGAACGACAGCTTGGGGGTTCTTGCGTGTTGAGCAGAAGTGTTTTCAGGCGAGCAACTGGCCCTACACTTTCGGGTTGCTGCGAAATGATTACGAGCAGTCCAGATGAGATAAGATAAGTCGGTGTGCGGAACACGAATACGGGAACCTTTTCACTGTGTCCTTTGGAGGGCACTTACCAATGTACAGGGTGATTCACCATAAATGTCCCCCCTCTAGCTCAGTTATTTTTAAACCGATTTCAACATTTGAAATATTATCTTGAATGATTTTTGATTGAGTTTTTTTCCGCTACATCAGAAAATACAGGGTGCTCAGAACAAACGATCTACAGGGTACCATTTGATTTTTTTATATGGAACACCCTATTTTTCATTGTATTTTTGGATTCTCCCTGAAAAGCTGATTTGCTCAATGCATCACACTTGGGGTCTATCGGGAATGATTACAGAGATATAGGGTGTTCAAAATCGAGACTTTTCAACTTTAGGATTTTTTTGAGACGAAACTATTCATCATCGGTCAAAACGGCTTTCATGTCCATATCTCAAGTTTTGATTTACTATCTACTGACATTTAATAATTGGAACAGATACAGGGTGATCAGAATTCTGAATCTTGAACCACCCTGTAAATGTTCCAATCAAATCTCAATAGACAGTTAATCAAAAATTAAGATGGAAACATAGGAGCCGTTTCGACCAATAATGAATAGTTTCGAGACAAAAAAATCCTAAACTTGAAAAATCTCGATTTTGAACACCCTATATCTCTGTTATCATTCCCGCTAGACCCCAAGTGTGATGCATTGATAAAATCAGCTCTTCAGGAAGAATCTAAAAATGCAATGAAATACAGGGTGTTCCATTTGGAAAAATTGAGTAGTACTCTGTAGATCATTTGTTCCGAGCACCCTGTATTTCCTGATGCAACGGGAAAAAAAATTCTGAGAAATCATTTTAGATCATCCTTCAAATTTTTAAATCAGGTCAAAAATAAGTGAGCTAGAGGGGGGGACAATTATGGTGAATCCTGTACTTCCTATGGTTTAAAATAGTCATAACTTCTTTCTCAGTATAGTTTCTTACTTTATTCGTTGAGAAAATAATTTTATGAATATTTTTAAACCAAAAATATACTCTAGTGATAATCCGCTAAATTGAGCCGATTTCGAGATATTTAGGTTTTTGATGTTCGATGCAGCACCTTAGTATCTAAATAATATTGAAAAAAAGTCTGCTGTTATCTTCTTGGATTTAATGTGGACAGTCAATTAGCAGTGCAGAGATGTATTTTTGAAAATACTTTTTTGAAATTTTAATTTTCTGCTGTAAATCGGCTTATTTTGACTCGGGAATATGTGCAAAGATTTTGTACAGAACTTTTAGGGACACCCTGTATATTTATCTGTCTATCTATCTAAGGCGCAGATCAGCTCAGTACCTATACGAAAATCTCAAGAAGCATTCAATTCATTTGGATTAGAATGTCAACACTCGCCAGTAACGTGGACATATTCCATAGAAAGTAAATCAGCTCAGCACATGAAAATCTTTTGAAGTCATTTATCTCTCAAAATTGAAATGTCCTCGTTGGACCAGTCATCGATGGCATCCAAAAACTTAAAAAAAAACTATTTGATGCAAAAAACTTGACATACGATAATATATTACCACGAAATGCTTAATCACACATGTTTTGTCTTACACAGTATCTTCTTCAGGTGAAATACTGGTACAATAAACTGTTTAAACCATGTTCAAACTATTTTAGTATGAATCATTTATTTTTCAGTCATTTATTATCATGTTATAAATATTTGCGTACTTATACTGTTTCCTGTTATGAACATATAATCCTTGGAAATAGAAAAGTTGATTGATAATGAGAAAGACAAAGCGTCTAGCTATACCAGTTCCATCGGTGGCTATTTGAATTCCGAAGTCGTTTAATTACGTGATATAAGAAAGGAAAATATCCTTTCTGCATAAGAAAGAAGACTACTTTTTCTATACAATCTAACCAAACTCAGCCTAAATGAACTTTGTTCCTGATAAGTATAATTTAAAAAATTACCCGAATCCTTCACTATATCAATCGTTCACTCAAAAATGTATAATATGAAAAAAAAAATTACATATACAGGGTGATTCATTAAGAATGGGAAATCACTGAACTGCAGATAGTAAACACTAAAAAAATAATATTTGTTCTTGGGGGAGATTTTATTTTAACATATCTCAATAACTTTGTTAGTTTTAAACAGTATGATCATGGAATTTTGTAATTCCAGGTTTTCTGTGACATGAGAAATACGAGTTTGCAACTAATTTTGTGATTGTATATAGAGGGCGCTAGTTGCACTCTGTTACATCGGTGAATGACATCATATTTTTTTTTCCATTGAATGATGATCAAAATAAGTGCAAAATCTGAAAGCCTGTTCAATTTTTCATAAAATGCGTTATTGAGGAGATTTATGTTCCACTTATAACATTTTAATAATTTCAAATCATAAAGTTAGCGAAGCGACAGGGGAAAAAATACAGTAATCAATGATGCGACCAAGGGTTAAGGGAAAATTCAAAATACAATTTTCCCTCGAACACCCTGTATATGCAACATTTAAATGATTATATGAGGCATGTTCGGTTAAATCTTAATCAACTAGGAAAAAGCGAAATACTAAAAGTGGAATGCAATGGTCACAAAGAGAGAGAAACTCAAAGTCATTACCACACCTCAGTTCATGAAACAAAAAATTAACGGAAATGGTAGATAACGAGCGAAAACAACTACTTTCCTGGCTATATATGCCACGCAGAACATTGAATTATATCCTCTCGATATCTATGCAACGATTCGTAAAGACGAATACATCCGCAAGTGATTCTTTCCTAAATGCTGATCTGTGCTCATATCGTTCAGGAACCATTGACTACCATACAGACCGGTTTCAAGCTTCATGACCGCCATCTGGTGCGAATCTGACCCAACGTTAACACATCCCAGCAATTATTAATACCCACGAGGCGTTCGGTATCTGCTACATGGACACCCAACGCCACCACAGTAGGAAATAATCACTAGATGGTGGTCATGAAGCTATCTGGGACACCCTTGCACTGATGAGAGCCAAAAGCTCGAAACCGGTCTGTAGGTAGTCAAGCGTTCCTGAACGATATATGAGCACAGCTCAGCATTTAGGCTGTATTCCGTGTTTACGAATCGTTGCCTAGATATTCGGAGGATGTAATTCAATGTTCTGCATGGCATATATAGCAAGAGAAATAGCTGTTTTCCTCTCATTATCGACCATTCTCTTACATTTCATGAACTATCGTTAAATCTTCATATTTTAGTGTGTACTATCAGTAGTTCAGATATTTTCCATTCTAAACGAATCACCCTGTATAGCTAGACGCATCCTTTCAGGCACCTCCGCGCCGAAGTCGACATCAACAGCTCCCTCAAAGAGGAAGCAGCAGCCCTGAGAGCCTCCGAAACCGACCTAGCGAACCGCTCCAAGTACCTCGAAGAGCAACTGGAAGATTACGTCAGTCGGTGCGAAGAACTAGCTGAGGAGAACGCATCAACCAGACAAGAATTGCTGGACGCTTCGCTGGTGCTGGAGGACGAAAGGAAAAAGTGGTACCGCGGTACCCGAGAGTTGGCGAGGTGTTCTTTGGTGGCGCTTAGACAGATCGCTACTGCCTATTTGACGCCCGGCTATCGCATATATTAGATGATTTGTCTTCTTCTTGATATTTGTTCTTGTATATTCAATTTAGAAATACAAGTTTTGGTTATTTTTTTTATGAGGAGTCTTTCAAACTCTTGTTACTATGGAGAAAAAACGAGCAAAACATCCAAATAAGTACGGCTCGATAAGGAAAACACACCTCCTGCTGGTCTTCTACTCTCCATTTCATTGTTTGTGTTACGACAACAAACATTTTAGGTTTTACGCTGGATTTGCTTGTTGCTAACTTTGCAGTCTAGAAGATTTCGTTTGAATAGATCCGGCTCGAAGGACCAAACTATTATATAGGGTCATACAAGTACTAAACATGGCAGTAACTCACAAAACAGAAAACTATTCTGAAATCAATGTGAGAAAAATTAGAATTGTACTCTTCTCCCTCAAAGAGGAAACGGCCGCCCTGAGAGTTAGAGAGAAGAATTAGGGGGTTCAAACTTGAACGGTTAATCACAGATTCGTGATAGAGTCTCAATTCAGAATTCCTATCCACGCCCTGTAGGATGAATATCAATTTATCATACACCCAAACACACGAATTAGCTGATGAGAACGCGTCCGCCAGACAAGAATTGCTGGACGCTTCGCTGGCGCTGGAGGATGAGAGGAGAAAGTGGTACCGCGGTACCCAAGAGTTGGCGAGGTGTTCCTGGCTGGCGCTAAAACAGATTGCCACTTCTTTTCTGATACCCGGATATCGCAGATATTAGGTGAGCATGTTGATTTTTTTTCTTCTATCTAGAAATACAAGTTTTGGTTATTTTTTTGATGAAGAGTCGTCCAAACTTTTGTGTTTTGTCACAATTGAGGAAATACGAGAAAAATATCCAATTAATTACGTATGTCTGAGGAAAAAACACCGCAAGCAAGTCTTCTACTGTTTTTCATTGTTTTTGTTATGAACAACGAACATTTCAGGTTGTACGCTGAAAATGCTTGTTGCTAACTTGGCAGTCTTGAAGGTGTAATTTGAATAGATCCGGCTCGAAGGACCACACTATTATATAGGGTAATTCAAGTACTGAACAGTAATTCACAAAACTGGAAGAAAACTATACTTCTTTCAATGTGAGAAAGGATAGAATGATCTTCTTCTCCCTCAGAGAGGCCGGTGCCAAGAACTAGCTGAGGTGAACGCGTCCGCTAGACAAGAATTGCTCGACGCGTCGCTCGAGCTGGAGAACGAAAGGAAAAAGTGGTACCGCGGTACTCGAGTTGGCAAGGTGATGTTTGGTAGCGCTTAGATAGATCCCCACGGTATTTTTGGCGCTGGGGTATCGGCGGTATTAGGTGTAGGACATTTTCTTGTTGTTTTTCGTCTTTTTGATATGTTCTTGTATGTTCAATTCAGAAATACAAGGCCTGGTTATTTTTTTATGAGGAGAATGAGTTCACAATATATACTAACGTTGAGTTTCACAGAGTATCAGACTTTGATTTTCGTTGATCTTGAGGGAAAATGAGCAAAACATCCAAAATAAGTACGGGAGATGTTGGTACCGCAGCATCCGAGAGTTGGCGAGTATTAATTACACTTGCATTCTTCTTGAGGAGTCGGTTTGTTCCTTATTGATATTATTACCTTATTAAACTATTTCTCGAATTCGAATAATGTTCAGTTATTTTACACTATATAGTATATGTCTGTCAGGTAGGTATTTTTGATATTTTGGGTTTTGACTCCTGAATCTTAGCTTCGGACCTTTCAAGTTAGAATCTGTTGCTGTTGTCAGCACAAGAGGTACAAAAAATGTAAGTTTTATTCTTCTACGGCTCATGTTAGTTGACAATATTCAGAGCAGAAAAATAAAAACTGAAACTTAAATTCGTTTATGCCTACAGAACAGATTCGTTCTCGAAATGTTCGAAGCTAAGGATGAGGTGTAAAACTCCCAGATATTATATATACTCACTCATAAATAATAGGAACAAGAGTTCGTGGAGGTTGAATAACTTGAATATGAATAAAACAATGAAACAATGAAAAATCTACCATAAAGATTTAATGATACTAAAGTATCTTAGGTGCCTACTAACTGAAGATTAAGTACATAAAATACAAAAATACAGAAAGGATAACTTGAGACTACAAAGTCAAGATCCAAAAAAATGCGCGCGACAATCATAAATAATGATGAAAAAAATCGACGAATACTGATAAGCGTAAACGAATCACAGTTGTTGTTGTTTTTTTTTTATATTAGACCATTCCGAAGCCTTCCGTACCCTCGCTGATGGCCAGCAACAGGGATTTTTCGAAATGCTCGTAGCAGTCGTAGTCGGGTAGACACAGTTGATTGAAACTGAAAAGAAATAAATTGTAGATAGTACCCACTTCCCGGACGCTTTTTCTTCGAGATACATCTTTCCGGCCTAGTAGGGAAGAATCACATCTTCATTGTCATTGTAAATATGGAAATCTTGGTAGGTATGGTTTTGATAAATGCAGTTGATCATTACTATATCAGCGAGATAACGACTGACAGCTATTTTACATGGAATCAGTTGACATTTTGATTTTAGAAAGTTTACATGGTGGTTTGTTCGCAATTATCGTAATAAACTATGGAAAGCAGCAGCGATACTGACCCCTGATTTATAGATTCGATAACGCAACGTAACGCAACTATTTTCAAGACGATTAAAGGAAAATATTACACTATTAAAACTCATTTAATAGTTTTATATTTTGAATTTCGCCGTGTAACGTCTTCGGAAAACCTTGCGTTACGTCGCATTATTGAATCTATAAATCAGAGGTGAATTTGAAAATGTGCCTTACGGTATTCCAAACACAGCAGCTGCTGCTACAGCACAATTATTGCCTGAGAACTCAAAAGTCCAGGTCCGCTGGAATGCAAAACTATACAGAGGAAGTACTTTTAGCTCATTTGGTGCAACTTTATGTTGAAAAGTACCATTTTAGTGGAGAAAAATGTGAACTTACTTAGCCACTTTTCCCATTGATTTGTAATTCTACACGGATGCCGAAAAAGCAGTGTAGGAAACACGCCCGAAAAGTTTTTTCCGAACTTAATAGTAATTTACGTAATAAGTCCGGAAAATACTGTTTTTTTGACGAGTAGACAGTCCTGCAAGTCCAAAAAAACTGTTTTTGGACGTGTTACGTACACTATTTTTTTGGCAACTATTTAGAATAACAAATCATGTTGTATTAGTGTGTTGGTCATAGATAATTATATAGATGTGTTGGATTAGCTGATATGGCGACCCTGACAGACATGTTTTATGTTCTATGCATTGTTCTATATTTTGTGAATTATTTGACATCTGACAGTGTGTCGTATGTCACTTATGTCATTCGTTTTTTCCCGCATATTTACGGCGTTTCTTCCTGGTATTCTTTTGTAGTATTTTTGTTAATAAATATTTAATCAAAGTGTTCTCGTTGCTTTTCCACAATTTCAATAACATATTTCTTTGTAGAATACAATTTATACTTTATTCTCTTTGTATCAAGTACTGAAATTTGAACAGAATACCTATATCTACTGACTGTTACATTGGAAATTTCGTATGCTCACTATCGCAGCTGCTTTCGATAGTTTATTCTGATGATTGCAACCAAACCTTCAAAAATCAAAATGTCAACTAATTACATGTCAAATAGCAGTCAGCCGATATTTCGCTGCTATGGTAATTATCATCTGCATTTATCGAAACCATATCTACCAAGATTTTCATAGTTACAGTGACAACAACGTGGTAATACGAATACGACCCAGTATATAATTTTCCATCAAAAAAATAAACAAAATATTGATTTGAATATTAGAATAAAAAATGAAAGATTGAATTTGCCTATACCAAATACCTTGGTATTTGGATTGATGAAAAGTCAAAGAACAAATCTCCCCCATAGTTGGTGCCTTAAGAAGATGTCCAAAACTTATCCCAAATATAGCAAATACCGTTCTATACTCTCACATCTTTAGTAAAATGAACTATCTCATAAATATTTGGGGTTCAAGTTCCAAGAATAATTTCAAAAAAATATCTGTACTATATAAAAAAGCATTAAAAGTACTGTATGGTCTTCCACATGACACCCCATCAAATCAACTCTATGAAGAAACAAATAAATTTTCTTTGGAAGAGCACTATCTGATAATTCTCTCAAAATTTCTTTTGATATTATCAACAAACACCTCAAATCTAACTTCATATTGGTAAGGAATTCTCAAATCCATGAACATCATACTAGACAATATGACTTGTTTCATCTTGATGCTGCTAATTCTACACTTGGTCAAAAAAAGTTCACTCACGGAGCTATCTCAAAATTCAATAAATTACCAGATGATATCAAGAGTTGCACAAATATCACCCAATTCAAAATCAAAGTCAAGAAACATATCCTCTTGCGAAGAGAAAATCAAACCTGAGTGAATGATTTCTCATTCACTAATTTATTTCATCATGTCATCTCATACCAGATATGAATCTGTCTGATTATTCATGTTTTTCCATTGTAAATGTTAATGATTATATTTATATTTATATGAGATGCTATGTTATGTTTATAGCAAAGAATGAAATAAATAAATATTTAACTGTTAAAAAAAACCTAACCTGCCACCTAACTCACCAAGTGTGCGCCGTGGGCAGACTGCCGAACGTCGGAGCCGCCGTGATCTGAAACCTCGGCGACAGTTCCCCGAAGCCGCCCGACGGCAGCTGCGAACAACCCGTCGTGAACTGCATGAGCCTGGCCATCTCTTCTCGCGTAAAGTTGCCCACTGCCGCCCAAAACCATCCGACGACGCGCCTGAACTCGGTCGAACACCCGTTGACGATGTGGTGGGCCTTGAAGTCGGCCACGCTGTACTGGCCGGTGCCACACAGAAGAAGCTGGAACGCCAGCACAAACAAAAAAATGACTATGTTTAGTACTTGTATGACCCTATACAACAGTTTGGTACTAGTATCATTACCCTATATGGTATGATAGATTTTCATTTGTTGTTAACATAACGACGAAATACGAATTGCAACTCTAATATCAACCTTTATTTCATTATCATATAACCATACAATATTATCATGCATCGAACATATTATTGGTCCTTCGCACCGGATATATTCAGAGCAAGCCTTCAAGACTGCCAAGTTCTCTACAAAGGATACAGAGTAGCACTAAAGACTACCTGGAGTATCAGTGAATACCAAGCAGCTGGACCTTTCACAGGTAGCAACAAACAGTTCAAGTGAACAAACAAAAAATAACCTATTTGCGTGTTTTGGGTGTCAAGTGATGGATTGCCGGTCGACAGAGAGTTTTCTTCAGATTTTTTCCATAAACGCATTTCTTGACCAAGTAGGAAGGTAAAATGAGTAAAGAAAATACTGAACCGCCACAATAGAACCCTGACCAGCTGCAGTCAAACCCGTGAAGATGTTAAACACTTCCACTTCCAGCTTTCCAGTTGTGACATACTAAGTAGTCAAAAGTAGTGTTACATATTCGAAAAAGTTCCCGTATGCCCATGGAATTGACTCATCTAGTAAATCATGTTGACTGGGGCAATCCATCTACATGAAGGATTCATAATTTCACAAGCACATGATTGTAGCAGCATAGCATCAATATGAACAGACGATTTCACAAAATCTCACAAATTATTCGAAATTCTGCTGCTCTTAAAATGATACGTATCACAGTGCAGTACATTTCGAATATTACCTGAATTTTCATAAATCCGCAGAAATGCATAAAAATCAGAGCATCAAGAAACATAGATATTTCACATCCTATATAAGAAAGGTCAGAAATTCCAAAACCATTTCAAGATAGACTTGAAGATTTGAAGAAGATGACAACATTATTTTCAATCACTTGGTACGTCATAACTGGAAAGTGGAAAGCTTCAATAAATTTTCAAACAGTGAATCTGAAACAGAAAGGACGCATCTTTTGAACACTGCAATCTGATTGAACACCGATTAATTTCCAAAAGTAATCGGTTCTTGAGAAACTTCAAAAATTCGAGTGGTCCCTTGTTTCTTTGAGAACTTCATTTGTGTGTTTAGAGCGCGAGGTGTTACATTACCGATCGACATATATTTTGTTAGATTTTTTTACCAAGTAAACAAAGGATTAAAGAAAATACTGACCAAAGGGATTGAACACGGATCAGCTACTCTGCTGCTAGACTCTTCAATGATGTACTTTTTTATTTTATTATTTGAATCAATAATAGTATATTATACATCTAGGGTGAGAAGTGATATAATGTGCGAGCAATATTCTCACCCGAGGTATATAACATATTTTTTCCAGTACCAACACTGAAATATAATAGTACATTATACATCAAGGGACAGAAATGCAAGAATTTTTCCAAGATGCGATTTGAAGCTCGAGGGCAAAGCCACAACATGCATCTTGTTGACAACCTTATGAATATTGCAGATGATACCAATGAACAATCATATGCGATTGGTTAAAAACTGTGTCCATGCCGAAGGTCATGGTTATCTGAATTTCTCTATTTCACACATGACAGAGACCGCTAACATATGATTTGTGTCATTTTTAGGATGAATAATAATCATTGTTTCGATTTTTTTTCATAACTTGAAAATGTTTTTCAGATGTAATAAATTTCGTAGTTTCAATTATATTTGGTTCAAAGATTGTTTAATTTGTCATTGGTTGCATAAGCATCGGTTTCGATGTGTGTATATTGCATAGGTATCATTGACACTATTGACGGTTTTATCTACCTAGGTAAAATTTCTTTATCAAGTCATTATTATTTACCCAGGTTTGAAAAGTGTTACTTCTCATTAGAGGAAATCCTCGAATAATAGTGATTTCTCAGGTTAGTGGTGGAAAACATATCTAAGTATGCAGGACTAGGGTTCCTTGATGTAAATTGACGTATTTGTCATTTTAACAGGGTACGGACAGATCCTCGTCTCCTCTCAATCTAAAGTACTTGTGAAACAGTTATAGAGTTCCATCTTTATTAATTTCTGGGGATAAACACTAGATTTCTGACATTTGTTGTTTTTTAGGTTATCTTGAGGACATTGGCGTATCATACGTAATTTCCACATGTAATTTATCATTCAACTCCACATATTATATCCAAATGATGATGATAATTTTCGAGTTCTTGATTTTTCAACTCCAGCATGATCTTTTCGAGGCAGTGAGCAAATTTTTCTGAAAGTTTAATACGTTTCAACAAATGGGACTGTTCTAAGGCAGTACCTATCGATAAATAAATTTTGATTTCGGACTAATGAGCCTTATGGTTGAGAAATGGTGAAAAATGTTATGTAAGTATTCAAACTAATGTGCTCATATGTCATATGTGCTGTATAGGGAATCATTTTTGCAGTTTTGCCGTTTTTCATGAACACTTAACATTTCCTGCATGTAGGTATAATTTTTTAAATGGTAGGACAATTATGCCTCTTATTCTTCAAATCCTCCGTTTCAATCAAAACTATTTTCATATATGTTATAGGCACAATAAGAAAGTATAATATGTGATTTCGTATTAGTTTTACCTCGAATATTTTGCTGATGTATTCACCAATTTTCCCCATTCGGTCACTTCACTTTCCATGTTCTAAGTTCATTTGCATTTGATGGAGAGCTGACAAATTCAAATTTGCCATCTAACTGATTAATACACCCTAACGCAGCACATTTTTCCATCCTTCCAAAACAGAATTGAATAATGTATTGACATAAAGTATGAAATTAAAATTTTGTAAGATCTCTTTTAACGCCTATGAATGTGACGTGACAGCAATGTCATGTCAGGGACGCCAATAGACGAAACCAAAGTCACTAGATGATTGAAAAAGAAAGGAGCTATGATCTGTCCATACCCTGTTAGATGACAAATACGTCAGTTTGCATCAAGGGACCCTATTCAGGACCACTTATAAAAAATAGGAAGATAAAAACTCACTTCCAGCTCATTCTCGTCGAAGATGCTCAACAAATTATCGGGCACCAACTCGTTCAGCCCCCTGAGAAACGCCTCCGTCTCCTCCTTCACCCTAGTGGCCAGCTTGTACTGCGCCAGCGCGTCCAAGTAGCGCAACTTCGTGCTGTTCCGCACCCTGATCCGAGCCCCATCCGGTATCAGCTCGACCGTCTTGCTGAGCTGGCCGTTCGAGTCGTATTGTTCTTCCACGAAGTACACTTCCGTTTCGATCTCGTCGATGTTGTTTTCGAGGAGATACTTGATTTTCGAGAGGTACAAATCGGGGTCGTCCTGTTCGAAGTACTAGAGGAAGGGAATGTGCCAATTGGAGTACAAACAGTAATCAGTCAACAATTGAAAAGTGAATAGTTACACAGGGTGTTGCGGAATTCGACCGACAACGCTTGACAGGTGATAGCCCTCGTGATTTCATAATCACTGAGATAGGGACATACGGTCTTCAAGTGATTAGTTCTCAAGATACAGGGCGCTGAAGTTGAGGAATTTAAATAGGGTTTTCGCAATGAGTTCCAAACTTACCGCGTAACACTGAATCTCATAAAAATGAATGCGAAGTTACTTTACCCAATGCCTCTGAGTTTTTCAGTGATCACGACCTATTTTTGAATCCACAGAAAACACAAATCATTTGATTTCATAACTATCAGAATAAAATTAAGATTCTTTACAAGTGAATATAAATGATACAACATTATTAAGTACCGATAAACTTGTTAAATTCTTGGGCTTGCATGTAGATGAATATCTAAATTGGCATGCACATTGTGGACTCTTGGTTTCTAAATTGAATTCTGTTCAGTATATGAACTGTTTTAGACAGAACACAACTTTGTAGTATACAGGGTGTTATTTAAGTACGTGGCCAAACTTGAAGGGGTGATTCTTTGAGTGATTCTAAGACGAAAAGTTCATGTAAACATAGGTCCGGTAATGCTTCGTTTTCAAGATACAGGGTGTCAAAATTTTTAAAAGAAATCGTTTTTTTCGTAAATATCTTAATAACCCTTCAACCAAATTTATTGAAATTTGGCAGTGTTATTCAAGGCCGTAATCGGCTAATTCAACCCTAAATATATCAAAATTATCATGTCCAGTGGCGTCCCGGAAGGCACTGTAACCAATATTTTTGACAGAAAAAATGTGCGCCACTGATTTTTTTGCAATTTTTGTATTTGTTTCACATTGAGCAACTAAAATTACAACTTTTTTATATCTAGAATTTTGTTCGTATCTTGCTTTGTTTTTGAGAAAAAACATAAAAATCACTTCATTGCACATCCCTGTGACGAGCCGAAGCCAAGAGCCGAATGCAAGTGCTGCAATTCATACATACATATTTTTTGTTTTTTCATTGCATTAATTTTGATAGAAAATTCCAAGACTAGAATAGAGTATTAATATGAAAAAATATTAGTAAGACCCCAGTTTTTGATGGTTTAGTAGTTGAAATGTTTTATTGTGTTGTCACAGGGATGTGCAATGAAGTGATTTTTATGTTTTTTCTCAAAAACAAAGCAAGATACGTAAAAAATTCTAGATATAAAAAAGTTGTAATTTTAGTTGCTCAATGTGAAACAAATACAAAAATTGCAAAAAAATCAGTGGCGCACATTTTTTCTGTCAAAAATATTGGTTACAGTGCCTTCCGGGACGCCACTGGACATGATAATTTTGATATAGTTAGAGTTAAATTAGCCCTTTACGACCTTGAATAACACTGCCAAATTTCAATAAAATCGGTTGAAGGGTTATTAAGATATTTACGAAAAAAACGATTTCTTTTAAAATTTTTGACACCCTGTATCTTGAAAACGAAGCATTACCGGACCTATGTTTATATGACATTTTCGTCTTAGAATCACTCAAAGAATCACCCCTTCAAGTTTGGCCACGTACTTAAATAACACCCTGTATACTATGCAGATTGAGATAGGGCATCTGTTTATGGGTCAACTCAACCTCAGCCAAAAATGTCTTTATCAAACAAAAATATATTTTACGTTGCATTTTTAGTACTTCCAAAATGTCTTCATGTAGAATTATCTTTACTTCTCATGGAATTTTAACCCTTGCTAGTTCATAAATCTATGAACTAGCAGTTTATATTTACAGTAATAGGAACGATTTCAAATCAAATAAGAATTTGCACAATATCAATACTGGTAGGAAAAATGATATTCACACCCTTGCTGCCAGATATAAAATAACACAGAATTCTCCGAATTATATGTATAGGCCCCAGAATATTTAATCATCTACCACATGATATCAAAACATCTTGTGATATTGAACAATTCAAATTTGGTTTGAAATGGTTTCTGTTAGAACATTGTTTTTACTCCATTGATGAATTTTATCCAGTCAGAACTGTCCAGCATAGTGGATAACTTTTATTTCACTGTTACCATATGACTTATTACTTTGTAATGTATTCTTCTAGACAGACTATTCCTATACAAAATGTACTTTTGTCGTTCAAAGGAAAAAAAAAATGGTAGAACATACCAAATACTGCATACATCTTGATTATTTCACCCAACAAACGCACTACCACTACCATACCTTATAATGCACCCTGAGGCCGATGACCTGCGCCAGAAACGACCTGGTGAACCTTGCCCTCACCAGTTGCCTGTAGCTGCCGCCGAGCGCGCTCTCGTACAGGCACTTGCCCACCACCCGCCCGGCGAACTCGTAGTGTCTGAGCTTGAGGTGGGCAGGTCTGGAGGGATTCGGGTGGACCAGCGACTGCCCGTTACCCGGCTCGTGAAAGCTGGCGAACAGGCCGCGATGGCCGTCGAAGAGCTGCGAGCAGATCAGCTCGAACCATTCGCGTCTCAGGCCGCCCCAGTCGATGCCTAAGAAGAATAAGGGAGATTGGAGAGCTGAGTTCGCGTCTGATTACACGACGTGCAGAGAAAGATCTTTTTGACTTATGAACATATAACAAACTAGATAAGTAACATCCTCATACACTGATTAACAATAATTAGATACCGCTATTCATTCATGAATCATTGAAAAGTATACCTATGCCAACAATCCTAAACGACAAACTCGGATAAATGAATGAAATCGCGAATGGTGGAGATAATAACAGCCACTTGTGCATTTATGGGTGATTGCTCGGAGATCATTCATAAATCATTGAAAAGTATTCGCCAACAATCCTGAACGTCAAACACGGATGAATTCATGAAATAATAGTGGGGATAACTCTGCGGAATCATTGGCGAACTGGCCGCGATGGCCGTCGAACAGTTGCGAGCAGATTAGTTCGAACCATTCACCCTTCTAAATGTATTAGAGATATTTGAAATTACTGAATCAATTGAAGATGACAACATTATTTCCTTGAATGAACAAACAAATTTGTATTGTTGAAAAGGAATATTCTCAGATAAATTATGGACATACAAAAATGGATATATATTTATATGAAGCAATACATTGAGAATTCGCATTCTTTATGTGATGAGAATATCTACTCTTTTTCAGTTTATTCAATAGAAAACAACTACTTTCCTGGCTATATGCCACGACGAACATTGAATTATATCTATTGAACACACACGATGAGAGTTTGAAAATAAAATATAAAAAACTTCTGAAGGCGAATGCAAATTCTCAATTTCAGAAGTTTTTTATATTTGTAGAAATTGTCATTTAAAATATGCTTCTGCTGATGATGGACTATTGATAGTCCGAAACATGTTCAGACACCGATTATTCAGTTAATAAATTTGTGGAGATGACTTAGTGTGTCTTGTTTATCATATAATAATCATTTGTAGTGAATTTCTGAGAATTATGTTGTTATGGCGGTATTATTATGTTATGAAGGTTGTTTTATTTTTTGTCAAAAAGTATTCATGCCGAGTTGAATGAGATGATCTATCCGAAAAATCCTCTTGATTCATCGATTTGATAGCGGTTCCAAAGGTCCTTAGAATGTGATGTCTTCTCCACAGAAAAAAAGAACGAAATAAATCACCCTCTTTAACTAGTTACTCTGAGGTAACATCCTATTTGTTTTACTTATATGTTATTATGCATCATGTTGACAAAAAGACCTAATAATAAAAATAGATGAAATTAGCACATTAAAGATTCTATGAAACAAATAAGACATGCCAGGAAACGAGGTAATGTATAATGTGTCTGGCATGGATTGTGATCTACTGCTTACCTTGTTCTCCTTGGAAGTTGACCTCGAAATTTCTGCACCAATCGGAAACAGAAAAATGCTTCGTAGCCTTCATGCTCGACTCCAACAGCTTCTCTCTGTTCACCTTCATCGAAAGCTTTTCGTGGTAATGCTTCTGATGATACTTCCTCACCTCATGGTAGAAAAAGTCTTGCTTGTCCTTAAAAACAAATTATCTATTCAAATAAAAATAAAGAGAGACAGTCCGAATATTTAGTCATAACTGAATGATCTATTGTATTGCAGTAAATACTTTTATCCGTGTAAATACTAGTTCCAGCGGCGCAAGGGACAGTACGATATAAAAGTCGTTGATCAATCATTGTTGAGTGTGTATTGTAGAATGTGTTATGTTTGATAAAACTATGCTTATCTGTCGTTGATTAATCAGTGTCGAGTGTGTATTGTAGTATAGTGTTATGCTTGATAAAACTATGCTTACTTTAAATGTTTCTGACCCGCCCATGTTCTTCAAGAGAAATTGAGCGAAAGTAGCGGCGATGACGTTGCGATCTCTGGAGACCAATTCGATTTTGGGCTGACAGCCGTCGTCTATCGTAAAGGCGTTCGGATAATATTCGCCCGTCTTGAGCGAATCCGTCTGGAAATTGAACTGAAACAACAATCAGTTAACTCATACTGGCCAATTGAAGGACTTAATGTGAAACTATGACAAGCGTTCAAAAAGAGTTAGTGCCTTTCTCGGTTGAAGCAATAGTATAACAAGCTACCACAAAATTATTACGGGCCTTATGTAATGGTGCGAAAAACCTATTTTTTCCCAAATGTGGTTTGTCACATTATTAATTTTGTAGTGGCATGTCACGTGGCTACTTATATTATTGCATTTAGTTGTTGGTGAATGAATAAGAAAAAGGAAAATAGAGACAAATAAATAAATCAGGATCAAGATGAAATATTCCACGAAATTTATGGCAACAATATGTAAGATTTTGGGTAATCATTTTAAATGGGATAATGTAACAAGCCTCGTTTTTCGATATTTGATATTTGCGTTTTTGGTTTTAGGCCTTGCAGAACTTATTATGAAAATGACTTTTTTTCATTAAACTAATAATAAAAAAGTTTTTCTCCAAGCGGCAGGGATAGTGGCTTTTTCCTGCCGCTTAACAGGAATAAAGTGTAGTTTTACTGCCTAGGCAGAAAAAGTTTGTTGCTATGCAACGTTCCAAGAAATTCTAATGAAATGAGTAATCAAAATTGACACTGACATTGGGTGAACACAAAATGATGGAGTTTTCAATAAAAAAATTACACAAAATTGATTTTATATCATTTGGAGAAAAAATTCTATGTTTCACGACAGCAAATGTAGATTGACTGCCTTAGCTGAATTCCTAGCCTCGCTACGCTCGGCTATGAACTATCAGCCGCGGCAGTCAATCTACTACTTTTCTGCGTAGTAAAACAAATAACTATTTATATTTGTTACCAACTTTTTCAGACATACTGTATACTTTCCTAGAATGATCCAAAATTATCCGAATGGAATTATATGAATTATTTCTCTCAAATTATATTAATTTGAAATATTCTCTTTTCCGTTTCGACCTGTTTACATCTCACTGATAGTGACTTCATGAGTTTAGATACTAATACGAGTAGCTAGTCATGTTCTCATTGAGACTAACGTTCCAACGATATAGCCGTTGCCAAAAATACGGCTGAATGGATAGGACACCTGGAGAATGGACCATCAGCGCTACCAAGTCACGACAATGTATGAAGTTAACCTTCAAAATGAAGATCTCATCACAATCTTATCATCCATTATTATTATCATTTTTATATTTTGATCGTTCCTATGCCAGTATAGGGATCTGAAAGCCCAATAATAGAATGAATGCCAGTTGACCGTCGGGGAAACGTCGCCCGGAGTGTCCTTTTCTTGATGGCCCCGTACCAACGCAAGTTATTTTGCCGCAACGTCTAGTTATGGGAGCAATGTATTGGGCCTCAATTTGACAGCAAATACATGTTTGTTGAGCTGTTTTATCGAAAATATTCGAAAAAATTTTTGTAGAATATTTGAACAAATAGAAAACCTTAAGATATCGAAAGAACGTGAGCTGTCTTGATTTTTTTTACTCTCAATGTGGAACTTTACGATCAATGAGAAGTTTACTATATTGAGGTTCTTATCTCACTGTGAAGTTTGTATTAATATATACGTATTTTTTCTTTATTCGTAAGATCGAATTTCACTTCAGAAAAAAATAAATAAAAGAGGGACTTGGCTCCTCCACCTTTCCAACGACGTACTTTCTGGAAATCCACATTCACACAAATTCAAAATACGATTTCCGGAAATTGTTCTTTGAATGCATAATAACTATATCATAACAGCTATGAGATATAATACGTTCTTCAATCCTACTTTGTCAAGTATGTTAGGGGCTCAGAGACACTACACTAAAACACTGCTTTGGTAATCGAATGGTATATATTCCTCACGATACTCTACTACTGGAAGGCACCAATAGAATGAGTAATAATCTCATTAACATTCCCCAAACACTTATATAATGTCTTTATCACCACCCCGCTGACGTGTCCACGATAACGGTGTCTATGTGGTCTAACAAGTATTTTGAATAATTCCCATAAATCTCTCATTGGCTGAATGAAGTTGATTACTAATGAAGATGAATCATGATATTTTGCGATAGTATCTATAATTTTTCACTATCTTTATATTACAAAATGTTATTCATTAGGTACTTGTCAGTCATTTTTTGCTAATGAATTCGTTCCTCAATAAAACGGATCTATTTTCTAGGAAAGTTGCAGATTATATCTTGCAACAGCGCCAAATACTTTGAGTTCGCCCTCACCACTCAAAATACTGACAGGCACAACAAGAGGAAGGAGCTATGGGTCTCGGCTTCATTCTGTTCTGACCGATGACAGTAAATTAGGAAGAATAGTATCATTGTGAATGCTGTTCGCTTGATGAATATAATCTCACCTTTGTAGATGGACATAACCTGAAAGTGAACATTCTCTTCGGGATGAACTTGAAAATTAGCTCTTTGATTATCAACTGCTTAGGCGACACATAACAAAATATCTTTTTAGGAGTAGAAAATCTATCGCCGTTGATGCCAATCAGTTTGGCATCGTAGCAAATATTGTGATTTTTGGACGCTACGTTTCTGTGGACCAAAGTCGAATCGACACCTGAAAAAAAAAAACGGTTAAAAAAAGATACTTTGAACGCAGCCTACTATGATTATCATTATTTATTATTCTTTAGCGTACCCTATATGGAACAAGTGTTTTCAGTGCTGTCAATGTATCTTCACTAGCAGAAATTACAGAGCAAACTAATATTCTTTGAAGGCTAGATTGGTCTACCTTAGACATAGCTTCAGTAATCCAAAATACAAGCAAGAAACATTCGAAAAATCAAGAATTCACTTCACGTTGTTCAGTTGTGACGATTGTGAAATAACTGTAGGCCAAACTAGAATTCCACTTCAAACTAGGTTTCAAGAACATCTTGCACATCTGAAGTATGTTATTAAGCGAATCAGGTGAACCAGCGTAGGGTGTTGAACTTACTATTTAAAACTATTATATCGAAATCGCCATTTTGCAATTCCGTCCCGTGATAGTAGATGGTGGCGTGGTAGCAACATTCTTTGATGAATCGGAGTTCGACAGTGACTCTCTGTGTTTCCCAGTCGTAATCGAGACTGATCGTGAAATTGTCTTTTTCGATGTCCACGTCGTCGGAACTCCCGCCAATTTTATTTATCTTCACAGAATAACCCTATAGAAGGAGAGAAAACTCATATTGTAGCACCACAAAATAATTATCATTAGAGAATGAACTTTTTTTCACGATTATGCAATATGCACTTATGGTGGTCGAGCTCAGTTAGAGCAGATAGCATCAGTTTTAGCTTTCATCAGACTGTTTTGAACCTGATTAAAAATCGTGATCCTCACAAATGATTTCATTATCAATTTTGGGAGGGTCCCCATCATTGACAGTCAGTGTACGTCTCCAGTCAGCTGTCTATGTCTACTATATCGACATATGTCAACGAGTCTGTCATTGACAGTCAGGTCATGTGGTTTCCGGCTTTCACTTGCTGATTGCTAGTCAAAAATGACAGTCGTTAATATTTTAATGTTATTGGACCAGCTTACATTTGATCCGCCTTAATGTTATGTGATGGGGTTGTTCAGATTTTTCATATTTTTCAAAAAACTTTTTCAACTTCATGTAAGTGATCTTATGATAAGGATTCTACTTTATGCTCATTTTGTGTTGATTTTAGGACTAATTTCATATAAGGCTGATGATGGACATATGTATGCCCAAAACATGTACCCCCTGATTTTGTTCACAGTAAACTGTCGTGGAGATGATCTGAGTATCAGTATTCTGTGATCTATCGAAGGCCTTCGACTGTGTGAATCATAGAATACTGCTGGGTAAACTGCCTACATATGGTTTTAGAGGTGTACCTTTGCTTTGGTTTCAATCATACCTTACTGACCGGTCTCAAAGTGTCATTCTTCATTACGAAGCCTCAAAGCAATTAGCTGTGAAACATGGAGTTCCACAAGGCTTTGTACTTGGTCCCTTGTTATTTTTATTATATGTGAATGACTTGATGCAAATCGATATTCAGGGACAATTCACCGTATTTGCTGACGATACGACTATTCTTTGGCATACGCAGAATTTCTTAGTACTGGGAAATATCATCAACTTATGGTGTGACACCAATTTATTATTATTCAATATTGACAAGACAGGAATTATAAATTTCAGGTGTGATATTAATAATGCCTTCCTCGAAAATGAATGCCTCAGTAATAGAGATACTGACAAGTTTTTAGGGTTGAACATTGACTCCAAATTAAAATTTGAAAGGCACATACTAGTTCTTAGTAAAAAGCTAGCATCTGACTGCTATGCTGTGAGGGTCATTTCAAATGAATTGAGATTAATTGCGGCCAAAAATGTTTACTATTCACTCATCGAATCACATTTGCGTTACCGCATTTGTTTCTGGGGGACATGTACTGACCATTTATTTAAATCTATTTTCGTTTTACAAAAGAGAGCATTGAGATATATGTGTAAAGCTGGGGTGAGGGATTCATGCAGATCATTGTTTCTAGTCCATGGAATATTGACATTGGCTTGCATCTTCATTTTAGAAACTGTGTGCTTAGTCCAAAAGAGATATAAAGATTTTAGATTTGTAACACCTACACATAAAACCCGCAGCTCTTCGAATTGTATCAAACTTCCCATTCCCACATTGGGTCTGACTAAGAACTCTTGAATTTATGAGAGCAAGAAAATGTTCAATTATCTGCCTATATACCTACGGGAAATTGACAATGAACTCAAGTTCAGAAAACAAGTCAGAAAGTTTCTAATTGTGAAGGCTTATTATAGTTTGACCGAATTTTATCAAGATTCCTAACAATATATTTCATTTTATATCTAGATTCGAGTCTAGATTTCTTCAATTTTATATTTAGATTTATATCATTTTATATCCTCATTTATTTCATTTCATTTTATTTAATTTTATTTCTACATATCTGTTGTGCTTTAGTTTGTTAGTTAGTTATTGACGCACTATTTTGTCAAGTTCATGTTATGTATTTTTGTTTTTCAACTAAATATATTGTGATAGAGCTCACTGCTACAAATATTGTTTTTCTTGCCTTATTTTCTAATGTTTATGTATTTGTTACCGTGAATCTTTGATCATGTTTATTTAACCTATATGCTTTGTCAATGAGAATCACCTTTCTTTCGACAATAAAGCAAATTTTGATTTGATTATTTAGTATCTTCTACTACACTCCACATTGAGAAATGATGGACTTCAACTAGAGATTATTCTGAAAAGAAATGAAAAATCCTCGCTTACCTCTGTCGGCTTGTCCTCGGACTTGTACTTGCACACGTTGCCGTACTCGTCCCGCGGCTCGACGAACAACAAATGGCCGACGTTGGCCGTACACACCACGGTGCTGCAATGCCTCGAGACCAAGGTGCGCGGCGCGTACGCAGGTCCGGCCACGAAATGGGCGGAAAATGGACTGCCCGCCACATGGGACTCGCCCACTGTCACCGAGATGCGGTACTGCCCGGCGTGGCGGACGGTGAACTTCACCTTAGAAAAAAACCTCAGAGTAAATAACAGTAGATACCGCGATGCGCTTATAAAGTATTGACAAGTATATGCCAACACGGATGGATGAATGAAATAGCGAATGATGGGGATAATTACAGACACTTGTACATTTGCGGGTGGGTGAGTGCCAGAAAAGAATAAATGAATGGAATCTCGCAGCGTCGGATTTAGACTTCGGCGGCCCATAGGCAGAGCATGTGGTGGAGGCCCTCATTTCGTTTGTGATTCACTGTTCAAAGTTTCTATTGAGGTCAAGGTAAAGGAGGAAGCAAATAAATAACACAAAATGTATTCAAAATTGAACTAGAAAACAACTAAAATAATTTCAGTTTATCTACAAGCTAAATTATTTCTCGTCTGATTTTATCATCAAAAAACGTATCGATAATATCGTCGAAGTCTGACTTTTTCCATAGAGAGAGGCGAGAGAGCGAGACGCCGCTCTATTGCTTCATAAACAAGGGTCTAGTTAGATCAGCGAATCTTTCAAACATCCTGGTCAAGTGACGTCACCTACAACACATGATATTTCTTCCTTCTTTATATTGAGAAACTACGACTACTACGAGTTATGCGATAGCTGAGTGGTTTGTGTATCTGACTTCCACGGTGGTGATTCGGGTTCAATCTCTGCTAGGCGTCAATTTTTTTTTCAGTCAATTAATTTTTCAAAAATATACTTTTCAGGAAAATGGTTCATTCAGGATAAGTTGGGTTGAAAGTACTTTCATTTTTCATGCAGAAGAGATATTATCCTTCCTCATATCACATAAGTCTTATAAACACAAATAACCTTCTAATAACCTTTAGGTTTGAAAGATTCGCTGGTCCAGCTAGACGCTTGTCTTCATAAACGCTTCTCACTCGCTTTCTCAATGGAAAAAGTCCTGCTCTTTTGATGGCACGCCATTTTCCGCTGTTACTATTGCCATTGGTCTAGCGCGGCGCGGTAGAATGCGCGAAAGGCGCCAATTGTGTTCATATTTCGTGCTGCTTGATCTCGCAGATTTTCAAATGATGTTAACTTTTCCCGCTCAAAGATAAAAATAAGTTTTTCGTCCAACTATTTGTAATGGAACCCAGTATTTTTTTGCTTCTACTGAGCCTTTATCGATTTATTTTTCTGGTGTGATACCGTGTAGTGGCGGCCCATAGGCAACCGCCTATGTCGCCTGTGCTTAAATCCGGTACTGGTTCCGCGAATGGTGGGGATAATAACAGACACTCGTACATGTGCTGAGACTGAATAACAATAGATAGACACCGCGATACATTCATGAATCACTAAAAATTATACGCCAACAATCAAAACATACCGGGTGTCCCAAGTTATCGTATACAGGCAATTTCTCGCTTATTTGACAAGATAATTGGAACATTCAAAAACTGCATTGAATGGCATTGAAGTACCTCCTCATGACATATAAAAAAATCTATCACATTCATTGGAAACCACTGGAATATTTTCAACTCACCTTGGCCACGTTGGCAGAATTCGGGTCAGTCGGAGATCCCAGTTCGGTAATAACGGCGAGCTGTAAAATACAAGAATTTTCTTCAGAATTGCCTGATGCCTGAACTTTTTCAGATGTTCTTTTTCGAATCACGTTGACTTTCGAATTGACTTTCCAAGTGAATTTCACCCACCTTTCGCGCTCCACCACAAACATCAACAGTAAAATTATCGGTATCACAGATCGGATAAGGCTGCCCGTTACGTTGGTAGAATTGCACAGTGAAGCAGACGGTTTGTCCCACCGGCTGTGGGCACGACCACTGGAAATTAACCTGAAATACACCGAATATTCAAACAGCTTCTACAGGGTTCTTCATTGAAGATAGAAAAAAACTTCAGATACAAAAGTTGCAGGGTTCGTTCTGAACCGCCAAGAAATTGTACAAGGTGAAACAAATGAATAACGCTGATATAAGAAGTTTGTACCAACTTCGTTATTTTGAACCACCGTTGTTCTATTTGAAAAAAATTATTCAACGTCATAATTACGATATTGTAAATTTTTAATGAATCTGTGGAACAAATGGAAAGTGAAACTTCATCGAAACTATTTTCCCTTGGCAACATGATTCAAAATCAACTGTTTACTCTAGATTGAAAATTGAAAAATGAAAATTTCAAGATAATAAATGCCAAAAAGTGGCAAATGATGTATCGTTGTACTCACAATGTTATTCTCTATCGAAATAAGTGAAAATATACCGGTTGTCCCATTTGAAATAAGAAATTAAGGGCAATTTCCGGTCAAACCGGAAGTGAGAGGAAATAATTGGATAAGTCAAATAATGCATATTTATGTACCATACTTCATTTGTTTATCTGTAGAAACAAAAAAGTTATAGGAGTGATCCACTTTTGAGAAACACCCGGTATACATTTCGAAAAAATTGAACCTTGAATATTGAGTATTTCATAAACGGCTGAACCGTATCTAAACTACTATATACTACGTTAAAAAAATTAATTCTCGATGACCAAAGTAGCTTTTTGCTCACTAGATACAAAAATAACTATTGTTTGTTAGTTTCAAGAATACATTATTTAAAAATGACTTGTTATTTGAGGAAGGCGGAACAATCATGTGTATGACATGGGGGTAAAGTGCATTTTCCTCCCTTGAATGATTAAACTTCATCCTCAGGAGGAAAAGTAGCACTTTCCTCCCTTGTTATACAAATAGCTATTATTTATAGAGACGAGAAGAAAACATTCGACTCACTTTACAATTGGAAGGTAACAGATACTTTCCGGTGACGTATTGCAAAAGGGAATGTTTGGCTTCCGGAGCTAAGGAAGGTTGGGTCATGGCAGCCAGGGTGACCAATCCGGCGACAGACACTGACACCACCAACATACCTCCTTTATGAAGAGAAAAAGAAAACAGTGATTCATTGGGACATTCAAGTGTTTCCTAAAATGAGCCATATCAGCCAAATGACTGACAGGAAAAATATATACCATTTTACGCTGAAAACTTTTTAAAATGTGTTTACTTCACAGATTCATAGTATTCCTTGTCTTAACTGTGATCAAGTTCATATAGGACAAACAGGAAGGTGTTTACAAGGTCGCCTTGCGTCTCATAAAAGCGATTGTAATCTGAAAAAAACTAGATGTGCACTCTCAGAACACACCACATAATTTCACTAATAATCAAAATTTTAGAAACAGTTATCAAAAAAAAAGTTTCTTGGAAATGATACATATAAATAATAAGCCTCAGTACAATTTATAGTTATTTACTCACTTTCCAAAAGAAAACCTGACCGTTTGTGATCATTATCGCGATATTTCGCCCCTCCCGAAAGATAATATCCGATGGGCCAGTGTAAAACTCAACATGTGGATTTGAATACTTGTAGGGGAGCATGTCGTTACATCCACATTTCTTTACTCCCACATCGCGTTGTTCCCACTTTTCGATATGCCCACATTTCGTTAGCCCCACATTTCGATACACCCACAGTCTCTGAACATACCCGAAGGAGGCACTGTTGCCAAATACTATCCTATATACCAGAATTCAATGAAACTGTCATTGTGGGCCTATCGACACATTGCGTTACACCTACATTTCGTTACACCCACATTGCTTTATGCCCACATTTCGTTATGCCTACATTGCGTTACACCTACATTTCGATAGGCCCACATTTCGTTAGCCCCACATTTCCATATTCCCACAGTCTCCGAACATTCCCGATGGATGCACTGTTGCCATATACTGTGCTTGATGAGTAATTTTCCGAAAAATAATTATACTTTTTAGGAAAAAGATTGATTCAAGCTGAATTAGGTTAGATTATTCAGAAAAAGAAGTATCCCTTGTTCCCTCAAGCAATTTATAAAAAAATATACTTTTTAGGAAGGTTTATTTAGTTAGGTCAGATTGTTCTGAAAAAGTATAGTCTCTTATGCTCTCTCAAGTAATATTCATAAAAATATAGTTCCTAGGAAGGAGGTTCATTTAGGATGAGCAAGGTTAGAATGTTCAAAAAAAGTAGTCTCCTTTCTTATGCAGAAAGGATATTTCCCTTCCTCATATTACGTATTCGGAATTCAGGAAGCCATAGAGGGAAATGCTATAGCTAGACGCGTGTACTAGACATTGTGGGCCTAACGCACATTGTGTTACACCCACATCTGGCAAACGTGTATCCTTCGGGTATGTCTCGAGACAGTGGGAATAAACAAATGTGGGGCTAACGGAATATGGGCCGATCCAATGTAGGCATAACGAAATGTGGGAATAAAGCAATGTGGGTGTAACGAAATGGAGGTGTAACGCAATGTGACGATAGGCCCACACTGACAGTTTCATTGAATTCTGGAATATAGGATAGTATTTTGCAACAGTGCCTCCTTCGGGTATGTTCGGAGACTGTGGGTGTATCGAAATGTGGGGCTAACGAAATGTGGGCATATCGAAATGTGGGAACAACGCGATGTGGGAGTAACGAAATGTGGGCACAAAGCAGCGCACCCACTTGTAGTGCGAGCACCACATGAATTTTATACTGGTCCATCGGATATTATAAATCGACAGGGGCGAAATATTTTCGGAAATATTGAGCTCTGCCACTGACTTAGATCAGTTAGAATCGCTGCACCTTTGGATATTCGCAAAGGAGACATCATCTCCTTTCATTTGCTTTTAGTTTCAACTCGTTATCAGATGACGGTAGTATGACCGAAATTATAGGAGCAAATAAATCACTGTGACGTGGATTTGACTCAGATTACCATTGATTGAGTGCAAATTACCGCACAGGAAAGTGCAATTTTCAATCATTTTGCCCAGGATAGTGGTTGGCTAGGTGCCGTTCGATAAAATACAATGTTTTACAGGCCTTTGGAACATATTATAAGATTTCGTTATCAGATGACGGTCCTACAAAGATAATTCCTATTGTATCAAAGCATCCAGTAAAAATCTGAAAATGTATGAGTTCTCACTGCCTAATACTACTGAACGAAGCAACCTCATAATAATATGTCCAAGAATTACCGTTTGTTGGAGATATCAATAATTTGAATTAATTCAATAAGAAAAGGAGAGCAAGAAATAAATAAGAAGAAAGCAGCGCAGCAGAGAAAGAAAACGAATGAAAGGAAGCGAGAAATAAGATTGTAAGAAAGAAAGAATACACAGTGAAACAAATGAAAATTCCGGTGGGATATTGAAAAACCAGGAGTCAATTTAGAAAATATAGTTCAACTCACCTACCAATCAATAAATAATATCTGAAAAAACCATCATGTAATGGAGCTACACACACCACGAAAGATAATCATTATTCCTGAACAATGAATTCACGCAACAAAACAATGCACTGTTATGTCTATCCAGAGTCCTTCGTACTACAATGTTTTATGAACCTTTTATGCGAAATTTATCATCGATGTTTCATTGGTGCGTATGATTCGATAATAACAATATTACTTCCTAATTACCTTTTTGGTAGCTGTACTCGCAATAAAACTCAATTACGACAAAAAACACTGATAACACACGATGGCAAAAGGATGGCAACATGATTAAATCTTTGTCGCGCGCCAAAAATAAACTGCTCAATCGCGTTTTTTTTTTCGATAAAATTTGAATCATCATAACTTTCGATTTCTTCAACGGATTTTCAATTTTTTTTCAGTTTCTGAAAGCTTGTTTCATTGACTATCGAACCTATGGGTATGACAATTCCATCTTTTCCGGATGAGATTCTACAGGATGATAATCAAAGCTGTGCATTTTTCCAAAAATTTGTCTATTATTTTTTAGGGTCAAAAACATATTGCTTCATAATAATGTTTTCTCGATACTGTAAAAAAATGTTTGAAATTGTCACATGCGTTACTAAAATATGAATGTTTTATTAGGATAATGCATAATTTGATGCTCTATAATTTCTATTGGCTTTGTGTTCCTCTCAATCTGGTTCAAATGGTGGTCAAAAATCTTGATATGATGCATGATCAACCTATTCTTATATACAGGGTGGTCCTCAAACAACAATTATGACATCAAGTAATTTAAAAAAATCTTGTTTCGACGAGCAAGAAAATTTCGAAGCAGGAAACCGTTTGAGAAGTTTTCTGACGATCAAAGCGTGTAGGAGAGATTGTCATCACCATGTCAAGTTGCTACAGAATCTATGGCAAGATCAAACCACTGGAATTGTTAGAAAAACCGGATTTTCAGAGCGTCGTTCTCACTTTGTGATAGATCTTTAGAAGATAATTTCAAGGAAAATGAGATAGACTGAAGAAATATACAGGATGTCGTCTAAATAAAAATAGTTGCTGCCGAGACGTACCATGCAACTGACAGAATTCATCACAATTGCAGTAGATTAACGAGTATTTGCGGTGAACGTCTTCACAAATGACATATTGATATTTGTCGAAATTCAAAAGAATGGCAGACGTGAGTCACATGGATATGTAATGTCCTGACTCAGAAAAAACATGAATTTTTCATATTGAATTCCATCACAGTCACAATGTTCCAGTTTTATGACTTTTCATCAATAACACCAGTTCAAATCACATCACTCTCACGTTTAATTGAATTTAACATTGAAGTGAACATGAAAAGTATGAAAATTCAATAACACATAAATTCTTAACAAACAGTTGGACCACCCTGTATATAAGAATAGGTTGATCATGCATCATTTCAAAATTTTTGACCACCTTTCGTACCAGATTGACAGGAACACAAAGCCAATAAAAATTAGAGCATCAAGTTATGCATTAACTTAATAAAACATTCATATTATTTCAGTAACGCGTGTGAAAATTCCAAAAATTTTTCTACAGTATCGAGATAACATATGAAGCAATATGTTTTGACCCAAAAAAAATAGAAAAATGTTTGAAATTTTTGGAAAAATGCACAGCTTTGAATATCATCCTGTAGAATCTTATCCGGAAAAGATGAAATAGTGTAGATATTGATTTACAATTTGTCATTCCATATTTCTCCAGAAGATTCTTGATGAACTTCTTCTGTGACATCATTATTAATCCTTTCCTGGGCCCATAACCTATTGTAACTTCTTGCAAAACTCGGTGAGGATATGAATTTGAAAATTTCTGCGTTAATTATTTATTTTATTAATAACAACTGAACTAAAAAACATTTTCATCTCCATGACATAACATAAGAACACATACATGTTGAAAACATCATCAATCTTTGATCTTCTCAACATTTATTAATTTTGAAAGAAATATGATGGACATTTTTTCACAGTATCGAGAAAACATATGAAGCGATATGTTTTTGACCCCAAAAAAATTTAACAACATTTCTTTCAAACGGGAGGCGTTTGAAATTTTTGGAAAAATGCACAGCTTTGATTATTATCCTGTAGACTCTGATCCGGAAAAGATGAAATAGTCATATCCATAGGTTCGATAGTCAATGAAACGAGCTTTCAGAAACTGAAAGATAAATGAAAATCGATTAAGGAAATCGAAAGTTATGATGACTCAAATTCGATCGAAAAAATGCGATTTTACGTTTCATGTGTTGAGCAGCTTATTTACATGTCTACTCTGAAATAGCATTTGGGCAAAAAATGTTTTTATTGAGATCTCTCTCAGCATTATCATTATTTGATAGGAACAGTTGTTGTAGTTACTTTCAACGAAAAGTATTAATTCATTGTTGTTTATTTCTCAATGAGATTGGGAATTTATATCCAGTCACTCTTGTGAGTATATTCTGTTTATGATGACTTAAATAAGAAAAATGTAGACAGAGTATACTTATAGGAATTTCAAATTGATGTTTGTGCTAGTAAGAATGTGAATAAAATCGGATTCATGAATAAACAGCAAAAAATACACAGGAAGCCTCTTTATTGATCAGTGAATCATTCTTCAAACATGCTTAACGATGCAATAAACTTCGCAAACATCTAATAATTATTTCTACGATAAAATTAATTTTTTATCAGGTCAACTGCATAAAAACTTTGGTCGATATGTATTTTGTAGTTGCAATAAAATTACTGATTAACTCGCTAATTACTATCCATTGCGTACTCGGCAATATTGACAAATTTCGAAAAAGAAGGGAAGAAATATTTGAATCGCTTAGCGCACCACAAAACAAAAAAAATGGAAGTCATCGAGATCAGTTTGAAATCCCAACTTTGTATCATCAATTGTTGGGAAATGAACAATAGGCGAGTAGACCACTTTTTTTATTTCTTAAATAGAATCATCACTCAAATACCTTTTAATTTCATATTTTTAAAGAATTTTTCGGCCGACTTTTAGGTGCTAAAATCTGACGCAACGATTTCTTAAGTAGGGGCAGACCATACCACAGTTGCCATTTGATAAAATACAATTGGGAACTTCAGAAATATCAGTTATTCAATAATTCATAAATTTTCAAATGAGTATTGGTAATACTCCCAAGTAGCAATAAGAATTCAATTGTCTCAAAATGCCCCCTTATGATTTGTGGCTTATTGCTTATAATAAATTTGTGTAAATAATAATTACATTAATTCACACTAGAGGACGTTTGAATCGGTGAACGTGACAACCCCGCGCACGTCTTGTGGGCGTGGTCTTGTCAGTTCCCAGCATTCAGCACCATGTTGCCAAGTCTCCCACATTCACATGATATTTCGTTATGGAGAATAAGACATATTTGGACATGCTGGTTACTCTAAAAAGTCAAGAACTATAATATCATGAGATCCTTCTATTATGTTTTATTCAACGACAGGACTCAAACATCTTCTTTATTTATTTATTTATTTATTTATTTATTTATTTATTTATTGGTACAATACATCCAGCAGGCCCAAAAGCCCATTTACAGGTGTATACAATTTGCATTATAAATAATTATACATATAGCAGAGTCAATTCTGAATGAAATGGAGAATCTCTTTCTTGAATTGTTTGAATGTTAAAGAAAATATATCTACACTAGGAACTTTATTAACACTTCTAGATATAGTTGCTATAGGAGAATGAAAATGATGCACTGTATTGGAAACAGGAATATGAAATGTGCTACAGAACCTAGATGAAATACGCGGTACACTGAATAGAATATGAGACAATAGGGGTGAACAATCTATTTGTCCATGTATGATTTTATATGCAAAACACATATCTCGGCTTTCCCTGAATTTCTTCAAAGATATCATATGAAACTCGTCCAACAATGAATCATAGCTATAACCTCTCTCGGGGTAAGCGCCGTGTTTTTTGAAAAATGCATATTTCAAAAACTTTTTTTGAACATTTTCTAAGCTAGATATATGTTTCATATGGGACGGATTCCAAATGACACTGCAGTACTCCAATTTGCTTCTGATCAGTGTGAAAAAAATGGTTCTCAATGCATCAAAGGTCCTGAATTCCTTGCAGTTGCGTATCAAAAAGCCCAAACTTTTCATTGAAGTTGATATCACATTCTGAATATGATTGGAGAACATGAGTTTTTGATCAAACAGAACTCCTAGATCCTTTGATTCCGTGATCCGCATTAAGCTTTCACCATCTAGTACATAGTTGAATGTTACTGGTAGGACTTTACGAGTGAATGCCATTATTTTACATTTATTTGTATTCAAGTACAATTTATTACGGGCACACCAATTAGTCAATGAGTTTAAGTCCTCCTAGCTGCAATGTGTGACAGTCTGCTTCATTTTGTATTTCACAGTATATCTTCTTGATAACTTGATTATAATTGGTGACTTGACAACCTTGCTTCATGATTGGGAATGGAGGATTATCTGACCAATAACGAAACAGCATAAAAACTGACGTCACTATTTATTCGACGTATCGCTAAATGTCGACCATGACGTTACGTTTGAAATGAGCTCTGAAATTTTACGATTTTGAACAACTATTTACATAAAACAGCTAGAGAAGTGTTGCAAAAATGAATTTAGGTTCCTAACAACACTGTGGAGTCATTGAATGCCAATAATTCATTATTAGTCTACTCCGCCCATTGAACCTTAGTTTTCCACTCCCTTTTTTTTTTCATAAGTATTTTTTGGTTGTCAAAGAACTTTGCAATTTGTACTCACCCCATGTCCAAGCGTCCTGGTGGTGGCTACTTTTGACGACTTCTGACCAAAGATCGGCTTTCAAAATGTCCAATCGATGCTTAGAAATTGGAAGCGCCTGACGAGCTGCAGACCATTTCGGAAAATCTTTGTTGAAAATCTGAAAAATCCAAAATGACCTTCATACAATATGTCTTGATAGTTGGCAACAAATGGAAAACTGTTTTATTATCAATTTTAGGGAAATAAAGTTCTCATTTCGATGTATGACATTCATTTACAGGGCGTGGAAAGAACTTCTGAATTGCGAAAACCCTATCACGAATCTGTGATTAGAGGTCTGTATAAATAAAAGATTTCTATCATTCAACGCCTTGATTGGGTATGAAAGTATTGAGAAGAAATATTCTCAGATATACAGGGTGAGTCATTGAAATGGAAGAGTGAGATAACGGCTTCGCTGTTTGAGATAGATGAATACAAATTTTTGTGATGGTCTAGGCTCATGAGCAGCATATTTCTCAATTACTTTGCGTATACAGGGTGACTCAAATATGCGTGGCGTATCAAAGTTATACTTCTTATTATATGACACCCTGTATTTTATTGCATTTTCGGATTCTCCTTTGTGAGCTGATTCCATCAATACATCACACTCGGGGTCTAACAGAGATATAGGGTGTTCAAAATCAAGATTTTCCAACTTTAGGATTTTTTCGTGTCGAAACTATTAGTTATTGTTCAGAACAGCCCACATGTCGCCATCTTAACTTTTGATTCGCTATTTACTGATATTTAATTTGGACGAATACAGGGTAATTCAAAATTAAGAATTACGAACCACCCTGTATTCGTTCAAATTAAATATCAGTTGATAGTAAATCAAAAGTAAAGACAGGGGCATGTAAGCCGTTTTGACCAATAATGAATAGTTTCGACCCAAAAAAATCCCAAAGTTGAAAAATCTCGATTTTTGAACAACCTAAATCTCTGTAATCATTCTCTCTATTAGACCCCCAAGTGTGATGCATTGATGAAATCAGCTCACAAAGGTGAATCCGAAAATGCAATGAAATACAGGTTGTCCCAAAAAGTATAACTCTGATACGTCACGCATTTTTGAGTCACCTTCTTCTAGTGATACTGCTTCTGCAGTGATTCTTAACTTGCTACCAGTGAGATAATATAGAAATCTGTATGATGCAGCTTATACTCGCTTTGATTGATTGATTGCTTAATAGCAGAATGATCAGTCAAGGCTCGAAGACCAAAACACTGCAGCCTTTGGGCCATTTTGTATTCCTGATCATGCTGCATGTTGTACCTTGATAAGGTTTAGCAGCCTCTTCACCAAATCATTCGTTGGAAAAGCCTCTTGAGAGTTTAATGCTCCCAGAAGGTTGTATCTCCAGCGCGCTAGTGCATCGTACTCCAATATTACATGGGTGGTAGTTTCCTCCTCCTCATTGCATAGTCTGCATATGGGTTGGTCTGTATAGATGCCCATTTGATGCATATGTTTCCTCAAGGGGCAGTGACCGGTTATTAGTCTCGTCACTTGTCTGATCTTACTTCTGTTTAGGCTCAGAATGTCGTTAGTCACTGTTCTGGACAATGTTCCAACCATCAGTTTACTGTGTCTTTGTCCTGGGACATTGTTCCAGTATGCCTGATGTCTTCTTGCATCCAACTTGCCAGCCAGCCGTGTATTGAGGTTTTGGGGATACCGAACACAGGTTGCGGTCCCATAAACAACGCCGCAGACCCTTGCCTAGCAAGAGCGTCATCTGCTCCATTGTCTTCAATTTCCTTATGCCCTGGCACCCATTGAAGAGTTACCTTGTTGTGGTTAGCCAGGCTTTGAAGGCAATCCCAGGCCAGTCTTGATCTGATTTTATTGCATGTTAAAGATTGTATGGCCGCCTGACTATCTGAGCACATGAGGATTTGTTTACCTCTGTATCCTCTTACGATATTCTCTCTCAGACATGCCTCAATAGCATGCACCTCTGCCTGGAATACTGAAGCATACCTTCCCAAGGAAGCACAAATCCTAGTTCTGGGCCTATCTCCATATATTCCGGCTCCCGTACCCTCATCAGTCTTAGATCCGTCAGTGTACCACACTTACGTGTCTTCCTGACAGTTAGTCGAGACCATTTCATCCCAGTAGAGCTGAGTGTTGAAGGGTCTGTAATAGTTATTTCTAGGTAGCATTTTGTCACTTCCCATTTCCATTAGTGGGCTTGAAACTAGGCTGATTATTTTTGTATGTCCCAGGGAGTCACCCCTAGCATGTCAGTTACCACTACACTCCAGTCTGTGTGCCCCCATCCTCGCTTCCGCCTTCATGAAAATTTCAAGAGGTGGAATATTGAGTATGGTTTCCATAGCAGCGGTAGGAGTGCTGCGCATTGCACCTATGATACAGAGACAAGCTAATCTCTGGAGTTTTGAAAGCTCCATTATAGCTGATCTCTGTTCAGTCTTAGGCCACCAGACAAGCGATCCATATACAATCATTGGTCTCACCACAGCAGTATATTGCCAATGTACCATGCGTGGTTTCAGTCCCCATGTGTTGCCAATCGCTCTCCAAGCAGCCATTAGTGCCATTTTGCCTTTGCTGACAGTCTTTCGCAGTTGAGTATTCCAGGTTAGCCTAGCATCTAGGGTTACTCCTAGATATTTAACCTCCTGTGTAATACTTAGCTGTGTGTCAAAAAGTCTGGGAACTTTTAGTTTGTCCAGTTTCTTCTTTTTCGTGAAGGCCACAAGTGCAGTTTTACTAGGATTGACCCTGAGGTCTGCCTTTCTGCACCAGCCATCTACTATCTTCAGGGCTCGCTGCATCAAGTCTGAAATAATTTCAGGATGCTGCCCCTCTACCAGAATGACGACGTCGTCTGCATACCCTTGTGAGAAAATTCCTACATTGTTTAGTTTTTTCAGGAGTTCGTCAATAACCAGATCCCACAGCAGGGGAGACAGAACTCCTCCCTGTGGGCAACCTCTAGGAATCGTCACCTCCATGGTTTCACCAAGCAATGAAGATTCCGCTGTTCTGTTGTGTAGCAAGTTTAAAATCCACCGACATGCAGTGTCTTCCACGCCACGCCCAACAACCGCTGCTACCATGGATTTGAAGGGTGTGTGGTCAAATGCCCCTTCAATATCCAGGAAAGCCGCAAGAGCTATGCTCTTGTTGCTTATTGCGGCTTCAATTTTCCCCACCAGTTGATGAAGTGCCGTTTCACAGGATTTTCCCGATTGATATGCATGCTGGTTTTTATGTAGTGGCCTTTCAATGAGAAAGTTTTCCCTGATATGCTTTTCAATTAACTTTTCCATCACCTTCCACATGAATGATGAGTGTTATCGCTTTAGAGAAGGGTTTTCCGAAAAGGAAGCGCAGCGCAATGCGGAAAATGTAAAGTTGGTATAAACTCCCTAGGGAGAAAATGATACGAGACTTCTGCCCCTCTTTTGTTACCAGAGAAACTAACTTCTACTCCCGCCGGCGTAAAAAGACACATTATTATTATTATCTATCCCTCTCTCTCTTACCTGCTTCGCCTTGTTGTCTTCGAGCCAATAGACGTCCTCGAGGGCGGCCACGTCTGCCGCCGCCAGCTGGGCGTGGTGGTCGCGCAGCCGATGGGCGGCCAGCCACTGGCGCAGCACGAGGCGCTGCTGCAGCAAGGAGGCCGCCCGACGGACGCGCTCCTCGTCGGGGGCGGGCAGCTCGGGTAGCGCGTCGGCGGTCGCCAGTTGCGCCAGACGGGAGATGCCTGGAAGACGAAAGCGATGATTCACGTTCCGTTCGAGACTGATGCACAAAAAACGGCCAAGACTGTACTGGTACTGGTACTGATGGGGGACGTTTGCACGTCAGCAACTAGCCTCTAATGGGACCTTTCTGCAAGCCCCAAGGTGTTTTCAATGACTGATGTGGTTCGCTTAAGAGAGCCGGCTAAGATCCTTTTCAGGCACCGCCCATCAGCTCTCTTTCAGAGTTTTTCGGCTGTGTTTTGTAGGCTAGCAATGTACTCACTACCATATGCTGCAGTGGCAGGCCTGCTAAATATTCTCGTTAACCCCCGTTAGACACCGAGGTCCACTAAGCAGCTGGCCCGCTCTCGCGATCAGTTGGTAGTTTTTCCAAACCCACCTACATACACCGTCTTACTTCTACTCTGATGCTCACAATCACATCATCATCTCTTTCTGCGTGTTCTGTGTAAGCTTTGTTACTAACTCCATGTGAAACTTTAGGAGCAGCACTGTTAATTGGAACGCATCAGCGAATTGTGCAGGACTATCCCCAGCCGATGCTCCGAAACTTTACAATATTTAATTCGTAAATTAAATATTGAAAAAAGTTCCTTGCTCGTGCTGGGAATCGAACCCACGACCTTGCGGTCGTGAGACGGACGCTCTTTCACTGCGCCAATCATGGCTGGGCCAAGACTGTAACTTTTGAATTATTGGAGATAAGGTTTTGAAAATTGGTGGGTAGCAATTATACCAAATCGCTCATTAATTGATAAAACAATTTTCCTTTTATCACTTCCAGTTTCACCGGAAACGACCCCAACTTTTGATTTTCAAATGGGGCACCCTGTATTGTATTCCTTAATCGGTTAATAATAATTAGTTATTTATTGTACAAGGAAAAAACTAGTAGATTTTAGCTCCAGGTTGTGTTGTTGACAAAAACCCGTAAAATCTGATATTTTTCCCGTATATAATACACTATTTTTTTCTGTGACAGAAGAAAGGACGAATCAATATTGAGAAGATATTACATTATTTTGAAATCTGAAAATTATCGACATGAAATTTCAAGTTTTTAACAGTAGGGACACCTGCGTTGTAGGCATCTTCATCATTTTTTTGAAGTAATCAAATATCTGATGTCACTTCTGTCAGTCTAATTCTGTGATTTGATTTCAAAAAATTGCGAATTTAGTGGTTGTTCAATATACGTAACCGCGAAGTCGAATGGAAGATGAAGGGACTTGCAGTTCTCTCTCGGAGACGGTATTATTGACTCATTTTTCGGAACTATAGCACAACAAAAGCCATCAACAGTGTATATATATATGTGATATATATATCCGGGAAAAAAGTACTCACTTTTTTCCTATGGGAAAAAAGTAATTTATGAAAAGTGACATTTTATAACCTGCCAACAGAGATGAAATGCCTTTTTTTCCCGTCGGGGGCGGGCAGCTCGGGTAGCGCGTCGGCGGTCGCCAGTTGCGCCAGACGGGAGATGCCTGGAGGACGAAAGCGACGTTTCACGGTTCGTTCAAGACTGATGGGTGAAAACTAGGGGCTATTATGTATTGCACATTGACTTTCAAACGTAGAATATCATTTCTTCGAACAAATTTGAATCATCATAACTCTCGATTGCCTCAACAGATTTTCAATTTCTTTTCAGTTTCTCAATGTTCGTTTCATTGACTATCGAACTTATGGACATGATTATTGCATCTCTTCAGAATGAAATTCTACAGGATGATAATCAAAGCTGTGTAATTTTTAAAAAATTTCGAAGGCCTCCCGTTTGAAAGAAAAAAAATTCAAGTTTCTTCTGGGGTCAAGAACATAACGCACCATATGTTTAAAAACTTTCGAAATTGTCACACTAATTACTGAAATATGAATATTTCCATAAGAGAATGCATACATTGAAATTCTAATTTCTATTGGCTTTGTGTTCCTGTCATGCTGGTTAGAACAGTGGTCAAAAATCTTGAAATGATGCACGATCAATATATTCGTATATACAGGGTGGTCGTCAAATAACAATTATGTCATTAAATAATAACTCTCGATTGCCTCAAACGATTTTCGATTTCTTTTCAGTTTCTCAACGTTTGTTTTATTGACTATCGAACTTATGGACATGATTATTGCATCTCTTCAGAATGAGAAATCAATAATTTTTTACTATAAAGAACGTAGAGTTCTGTTGAATCGATAGTAATATTCGAGGTAATAACCCTATATTACCTGTGATACTGTAAACTCAAAAATTATTGATATATCAGAAACGAAACATAAAGAATTGAAAAACTGTTTGCATATGATAGGCAACATATTCAAAATAGTGTGAGTGAAATGAGATCCAAATTAACGGAACTGTTTTCAAGATATTCAATTGAAACATGTTGAATAATCTTCAACAAAATCTAGCACACCCTGTATGTAAATGAAAGGCAATATTGCACAACTAAATTCGCTAGTGATTCAACTTAGCTAACAGTATCAATCAATCCATTCCTTTGTGATCAAAAACAAGCTGTCAATTGTTTTCAAAAAGGGGTGAAACACAAAATTTTAAAAATTCATATTTCGAACAGAGATTGTTATCAAGAATCAAAATACGTTTTCGAAGCCTATAATAGACTAAAACTATAATGTCCCACCAAAATATAGCTTGTTGGTTTTGGAATAGTGCTCGAATTTTTGTCCGAAAAATGAATTTTCTGACCGTGCCTCGTATACACCCTGATTTACTATAATTTATGTAATCATAACTAGACATGTATTTGAGTTCCGATCAATACATTTTCTAGATTATTTTGTCTTATTTATACTAAACAACAGTTTTTTTCTTTGTCAATCCTACCCCGATACGACGTTTTCACGAACTTTGTCGGCTCATATCTCAGAAACTAAACATACAAAACTTTTCAAACTCACATATTTTTCTAATGAGCCATCCCACAACAACATAGGAACATTTCAGCCAATATGACCGAGAGCCAATTTCCCGTGTTTTCGTGCGGGGTCCTTTTGGTGAACAATAATTCATATTTGTTGATGATAATGCTCGTCCATTGAGAGAATGAATTGGCCACCTGATATGAATCCGATTGAACATGTATGGAGTAGAATGAAATTGAAGAAAGAGAGGGTGAAATTGAAAATTTGGATGTATTGGTGATAGAAAGCATGCCCAAAAGAGCTTTATCTCTTCTACGATCAAGAGGAGACCCAACTTGTGTCATCGATTTTTTGTACTTTTCATGTTCACTGCATTGTTGAATGTAATTAGGCGTGAAAATTGATTGATGTGATTATTATTTTTTGAGATGTAACATCTCAGAGAATTTCTGCTTTTCAGACGTGACATCTCTGAAAATTGTCGAATATGATGAATCAAAACTGTAACATGTCGAAACTTTTCCTTGGAAAATTGGAAAAAAAAATATTCGAATATTATAACTAAAGATTTCCCTTGTAAGCTTATGACATAATAATATAATTTCAACTAAATATAATTTTCGCGATGAATGAGGTTCACTAGAGACAAATGCATCATCATTAAAGTGAACATTTACAAAGTCGTTTTTCTCAAAACGAAGAATTTTCAAGTACCACAATATTGTTCTCAACGTGCGATATTTCATCAATGCATATTTTGTCCAAACAATCCGCCCTTAGCCCATGTCCCAATACTTTACGAGTAATAATGAAAACAACAAGGAAGAGTCCTGAAGAAAACAAAACCAATCAATTATTATTCACCCCAATAAACTTAGCAGAACCACTTCAATATTTCGGATTTGCAATAGTACTATAATTTGTTACTAATTTAGTACTAATTTATTATCATATTCGCAAATTTATTACTCTTCATTAAACAGAAAAAACCAACGGCTCTGCTAGCTTTATGTCAACCTAGCAGAACCATAGCTGAAAATTTAATATTTAGAAAATTTTAAATATACCATAATTTATAACTTTTTTATTACTAACTCATAACTATAATCACGAATTCTTTACTCATCATTTCAAGGAAAAAAACGACGATTTGTCTATCTCGATCTCAACCTAGCAGAACCAAAACTCAAATCACATGTTTTTTGAAATCCTGTTGTATCATCGTTAAGTTACTAATTTATTACTAATTTATTACCACATTCGCAAATTTCTTACACTTCATTCAACAGGGAAAACCAACGGCTCTGCTAGCTTGCTGTCAATCTAGCAGAACCATAGCTAAACTTCAAATATACCATAATTTATTACTATTTTATTACTTACTCATAACTGACTCTGTCAACGACATAGACAAATCGGCGTTTTTTTTTCTTGAATTGATTAGTAAAAAATTCGTGATTATGTTAATAAGTTAGTACTAAAATACGGTATATTTGAAGTTTTCAAAATAATAATTGTTCAGCTATGACTCTGCTAGGTTGACAGAAAGCTAGCAGAGCCGATGGTTTTCCTTGTTAAATGAAGTGTTAGAAATTTGCGAGTGTGGTGATAAATTTAGTAATAAATTAGTAACTTATCGATGATACAAAAGAATTTAAAAAAACATGTGATTTGAGTTTTGGATTTGCTAGGTTGAGTTCGAGATAGACAAATCGGCGTTATTTCCATGGAATGATTAGTAAAAAATTCGTGATTATAGTTATATGTTAGTAGTAAAATAGTAATAAATTATGGTATATTTGAAGATTTCCAAATAATAATTGTTTAGCTATGGGTCTGCTAGGTTGACAGCAAGCTAGCAGAGCCGTTGGTTTTTCCTTGTTAAATGAAGTGTTAGAAATTTGCGAATGTGGTAATAAATTAGTAATAAATTAGTAACTTATCGATGATACAACAGAATTTCAAAAAACATGTGAATTGAGTTTTGGTTCTGCTAGGTTGAGATCGAGATAAACAAATCGTCGTTTTTTTTCCTTGAAATGATGGGTAAAAAATTCGTGATTATAGTTATAAGTTAGTAATAAAATAGTTATAAATTATGGTATATTTA